TTTCTCTAATTAGATAAACTAATGTATGCATTAGCTTTGTGTATTAATAATACCTTGTTTGGTATACTTTTTGAACCTATGCATTAGTTATACAAGTATTAGTTATACACCCTATTTGATATTATCCTATGATAACTAATATATACGAAACTATGGTATTAACAATGCAATGAGTTTTAATGCATGCATTAGCTTAATTAAAGATAAAATCGTCCTTCAAAATTTATGCTTGATTAAAAATGCTATTATATTAATGCAATTTTGAAATAATTCAATAAATAAATACTTAGCATATTTTCTTCTTCCTTTTTTAAAAATAAATATTTAGTTTTATACTACAATATAGGTAGACAAATTAAACAATTTTTTTTAAAACTTTTTTCATATAAAAATATTCCTCAACATATGTTTCTTTTAAAAAGATAAAGTGATGGGCCGGTTATGAGGGTATTTTTATAAACAAATAATTCTTTTAGAAATAGTGCAATGCTTTAATAAATCAAACAAAACAATGAATAAAACATATGTCGGCATAACTAATATCAGCATTACTAATATACCTTATTCGGTATTATTCTTATACACTCTACCAAACAACCTCTTAGTGCAATAAATCATGCACCTATTGGGTTAATATGTTGAGAACTATTGAGTATCTCACATCGTTGGGATTTGAGATCCTTGGTATTTTTATATGGTCTTGGGCAATCCTCACCTCATAAGCCAGCTTTTGGAATCGATTTAAGTTAAGCCCAGGGTCCATTTATCAAGAACCATGCAAAATTTACATATCATATCCAATTTGGAAATAATTAATTGTATTTTTTTCTTTTTCCTTTTTAGATCTTGGCGTCCCAATCGGAGCTCCAATTGCAAGTGACGACGGACTTGCTCCATCACCTGGTAACCTCTTACATTCCTTCGTTAATCTGGGGTTCAATTGTATTTAGTCTTTCAATTTACTCAACCTAACAATACAAGTGGGATTAACGGTATAGTGTTTGCTGTAGTAATACCTAAATTTCTACTTTCCCTTAGTTTCTTAGCCATTAGTGGCAGATCCAACAATGAGTTTGTGAGTTCAACAAAATACAACTATTTCATATTCGAATTATAGATATATAATAAAAATAGTTGAAACATAGTTGTTATAGGCATTTTTAAAGTTCACTCTCTCAACTCAGAGCTCACCTCATTTCAATTCTGGAACCGGCCACGGTCATGCAATAGCAATTTTGGAGGTTATAGGGAAAGGTACTTGGGAGAAAAATAGAAGAACCATAGATTTGGTCCATAAAAAACATTTTTAAAAAACAAAAAAGAAAAGAATAACTACGTATTATTTATGAATTACAAAACATGTTTTAGGTTTTGTAACTTAGTGAGCATAACTAGGAACTACAAATAATCATGCTAGTCAAGAAAGAACAGAGTTTCATATTAGTTTTCTTTTCTATAGTTTTGGGCCTGAATATTATCTTTAATTTGCAATTTTTTATGAAGACAATACCATGACCATCTTATTGTTTTTTCCTCAGGAGTGTTTGCAACTAGTCCTGCATCTGACAACAAAGATAATGCAGCTTCAACCATAGTATTTTCCAAGATTCACTTCCTTGTTGGCATGACCATTGTGTTTTTCACAACCCTTTTCTGATTCTACAACAATTCTTGGTAGATATTAAAATGCAACTAGAATTCTCATAGACATCCATAAACTTCAGTATTTATTCTGTAATATTTCAGTATAAATTTTTTGTTGTTGTTACTGTTCTTTTTTCCCATGACTTCTCCACTGCCGTATTTCTTTTCATAACTATTATGATCATGTTTTCCTTGAGCCGAGGGTATATTGTAAACAATTTCTCTACTTTCATAAGGTAGACTATCCATCCCACACTCACTTGTAGGATTATCCTAGATATGTTGTTATTGTTAAATCTTTTCCACATTGAAATCATTATTGATAGTGGAGTTTTACTCATCCTGAATCTCTAATGAAGATAATTTTGGTTAGTTTTATCAAGTATTATTGAGGGTTTCTGCAAGTAAAATTTTTATGGCTTGAGAAACTTGACATGTCCATCTTATTTTGGTTCTCTAAAATTGCATTAAGGAAAGCTTTCCATTCGACGATTTTGCTCCCGTATGACCATAAATTTTGGTTAATTGTTTTTTAAAAAAAAATTGAAAATATAGTTTGTTCTTAAAAGATGATCAGTTTTTGAAAGTTTTCTGAATTTTTTTTTAAGTTCCCAAAAACTGGTTTAGGGTAGTGTTTGGGTGAAATTTTTTCTTACACTCATAAATCTCAACTTTTCTTCAAATAAAATGCATGTCCAAACACAACTTCAACTTCCAAAAATTAATTTCCAACAAACTTTTTTTTCAAATTTCAATCAAATTTATGTCCAAACGCTAGCTTAATGTTAGGTCTTAAAACGGTAATTAACTCACTTGACCAAGCCATCCAGGAGAAGACCGTCCGCATTCTAGTGGCGCATTTTTTATTTTCTGTATCGTTCCAGTTTTATTAGCGGTCTCAATAAAGATATTCTTGATGCCGTATTTGATTCATGAAGTGTGAACCCCAAATGAGTTTTGTTTAGGGGTAAATAAATGTACATTTAAAATTTATTGAATCAGATTAGGTTGCTCTAAGAGTTCAAATCAACATGTACGATTAATTTATCAGAAAATTGAAAGAGAAAGACAAAGATATATGGTTCTTAAAGTACGAACCAATTTCACTTGATAATAAATATTTTGATTGGCTTTGTCAGCAACTAAAAGTCGTTGTAGCTAGTATAGTGGTAACTTTCTCACACGGAACCCAAATTAACGAAACATTTTACGTGCATCTAATACTCAACACTATACAAATGAATGAATACAAATACATAGTTTACTCATTAACCTTGCCTTAAAATCTCTATTACACACCTCTTTCATGAATTTTTTTTTACACACTTAACCTTTTAAAAGTGTGTCTAAGACACATTACTTTTGACCAAATAACACTTGCGTGTTTACGCACAAAAAAAGTACGTGAAGCTCGTAAAAATCCCATTTTTTTGTCTACCCTCCCCACAAGAACCCCTCCCCCTCCCTCTGGTCTTCTTCCTCACCACCCTCCCCCTCATTTTCTTCCCCAAATAGAATTTTTGAAAGAACATATCAATTTTAGATCTAAAATTGAGCGGATTTTGTTGGTTTATTGTCCAAGTATTGTGAAAACTATTTATTTGTGATAGATTTAAAAGCTTTAATAGTAGTATTGAAGGTTTGGTGAAAAATCTAGAATCCATCATTGTTGGGGTATCCATAAAAGCTTGAAAATTCAATTGGATCTTGTTAATTATTGGGTTATTGAACTTAATTTGTTGCTCGATTGTTTTCGGCTACTTGTTTAGATAGTGTGGTTGAATTTTGGTATTGTTGGAAACTTTCTCACAAACAACCATGGTGGTAGCTGCTTAAGATAGAAAATGGAAAGATGAAGAAGATGGGTTTTAATTTTAATTTCTAATATTTTTTTCCTTTTTAAAGTCAATGACATGTGTCACGACGCTATTAGAGTGTGATTGTCACGTTATCTGAAATATTGGTCAAGCACAAAAATGATGTGTCTTAGACATACTTTTGAAAGGTTGAATATGTAAAAGCTTTCCCGTGAAAGAGAGATGCGTAACAAGGATTTCGCTGCAAGGTTGATGAGTAAACTATGTATTTTGCCCATTTTTTGTTTATAACTTTCTATCACTTAATCATAATTAAGTAATATATATTTTTACTTTAATATTTTTATGGTTATATAATTCATTACAAATATTATTTAGTTATACGGTCCATGTAACATGAGATATTTTGAGTTATCTGTAATACAAAATACAAATGTTTTTGTAAAATTATTTTAAAACTGTAACTAACTATTTTGTATTATTTCCTCATTAAATTGCTTGATCGGCCCAAAATATCATAGTCAACGGTGATCCAGACGTTTTTGTTAACTTCCATTTTTCGCTTGACATACAGAACCCAAATTAATGAAACATTTTACCTTTATCTAATACTCAAAACTATACAAATGAACTAATGTGTTTGACCAAAAAGTGCTAAGCTTTTTGTTAAATCAATTAATGAAGAAAATGAAGGATAAATCTTAGTCAAACATAATTAACTCTAGATCTGAGCATGGTGGACATGAAAATCGAACGAGACCAAGTTTATATAGCTCCTTTAAGTTTATAAAGAGGCATCAAACATAAATAATGAGCTTACATTTTTGATACATCGTGTGAGCACTTGATTTTTGCCCTTCTAGAAATGCTCCTACAAAAATTTAAAAATAGATTTTTTTCTAAATTATTTTATGTTTTATAGAATTTTGTAGGATTTTCTTAATTAATTGTTTTCATTTTTGTGCACATTTAGTATTTTAAAATCATAGAAAAATATCAAAAATATCTCAATCATCATTACATAGCATTTTTGTATTTTAATTGTATTTAGAATTTAATTGCATAAGTTAATTGCATTTATTAAACCAAAATCATAGAATTGCTATAGTCATGTCTACATTTTAGTTTTAATTAATTAGTATTAAATTTAGTGAAAATAAGTATTGATAATTTTATAAAATAGATTAATTTAGAATCTAAATTAGGATTTCATTTAGTTTATCTAGGATTTTATTAAAAATAAAAAAATAAAAAGAGAAAGAAGAAAAGGAAAAAGAAAAAGGAAGAACATTGTTTCGGTTCCTATTCTGGGCTAACCAAAACAAATTCAGTGGCCCAATTCCCATTCTTTTTAATTTAATTCTGCCCCAGCCCAACTAAAACCCAACTGATCCGGTCCCAATCCCCATCACCCAAACGACACTGTTCCACCCCCTAATCAATCTCAGCCATTGATCAATTATGATCTAATGGCTGAGAACTAACCTACCCAACCCCGTAAATATGTCCGAACGGACCTCTCAAACCCCAAAACCCCCCCTCATTCTCTCTTCTCTCTCAAAGACTAAACCTAGCCGCCGTCCAATTCCCTCAGAACCCTAGCCGCCTAGAATTCCTCCGTCGTCCTCCGCTCGGAAATCGCCTCACGGCGGTGGACCACCTCCAATTCCACCCAATTTTACACCAGACAACCACCATACTCTCCTCATCTCATATCTTCCAACAATTTCTCCAAAATCCTTATCCATTTGCTTCAATTTCAGATTTGAAATTTCAAAAGAAACAAAAATCCTAAACTGTCTCTCTTTCTGATTTTTATCTGTTTCAAGGCTCGATTTGAGCCAAAGTTTATGCCAATCGATTGTTCTCAGTAAGAACAATCGATTAGCGTCATTTTTGGTTCATTTCAAAGCTTGCCGGATTCCGACCAAGTCAACACTGGCCAGCAGGGCTCCGATGCTTTCATAGCTCATCGATTCGCCTCAGTTGCCTATTCAGTTTCCAGCAAAATCAGTTGTTTGTTCCTTTTTCCTTTTCTTTTTTGTTTTTCTCATTTATTTTTATTTTTACGTTACTATTTAGGTTTCAATTTTATCTTTATTTTGTTTGCTTTGTCCTTTACTACTGTATGTTAAATTAAAATAAGGTTTAGCTTAAATTAGTTGCATAATTCTTTAGTTAACAGCATTGTTAGTTAGTTAACCTTACTTTGTTTCGTCTAGTTGAATCAACCTAATTAGATTAGTTTCTGTGATTAGATTACTTAAATGCATGTTAATTAGTTTAACCACAAATAGCTATTTAAATTAGTTCTACAGTTTTAACCAAGTGTTATGCACTGTTGATTGATTGATCTACGTTTGAGGTCTGGTTTGATATTTGTTTTGGGTTCTATCCGAATTCAGTGGGTCATAATGAAAGCCTCAGTTGATAGCAAATAGAAATTAGGGGTTTGAACTTGCAATAAATAGAACTTAAAGAGGTTAATTTGGAAGTAAGAATGGATAAACTTTAGGTAAAAATATTAGAAGGTTCTAGTATTGGACAACTGTCCCTTTTTTGGTGTGGAAAGATGCTGAAAATTGGTAAAAAGGACAGTTGTGCCAGGTCTGTTAAAAAGATGATGTACTATCCTCTTTTACAGCTGACATTTCTAATTTTTTAGGATAGAATATTCTCTATTATTCTTATCCTTATGTTTTCTATATAAAGAGGCTGACCCTCACTCACTCACACAGACTATCACTTAGCATTCTCTCTAAAAAATTGATTTCCATACAGACAAGAGAAAGAAAAAGGCTCTCTGCACTTTTCTTGCTCTCAAAAAATCAGCTTTTGTTCTAGTTTCTATACTGGTTTACTCTATGCTGGTTCATTCTGATTCTGGGAGGAACTCAAATCAGCTGTTGTTCTTTGGGTCTTGTTGATTTCCTGTTGTGTTGTTTGCTCTTGTTGCTGTTCTTTTCTAGCTTCTGTCCGAGGCTTATTTTTCGTTTCACTTTGATTTTGCTGCTATAGGTATGTAGATCTTCATCTAGGATCCTTTATCTTAATGTTCATAAATTAGATATGATTTTTTGTCCCTGTTAGTTTTGTATTTTAATGAATCCAGCCTGTTAGCCTTTGAACCTGCTTAAAGCTTTCATTTTTTGTTCAATGTATGGTGCCATGAAATCGCTTCTTTGAATTTTCAGATTGTTCATCTCTGTTAAAAGTAACATATTCTACTTTTGTGTCATGTTTGCACTTAGTTTTTGCCTCATGAGTTGTGATGATTCAATAATCTCATTGGTATTATCTACCGTTTTCTTACTTTTTGAAGTATTGTGCTAATAAATATTCTTCACAATGAATCTTTTTGTTTTTGTTATTCCCTGATTGCATATGAAGTTTTAACAAGGGGAGGAAAGCTTTGAAATTATTTGGATCCTCATTGGATGTCTCATCTGTGTGAGGAACAAAGTGCTGATTTGTAAACAACTCTGTAGCTGCCTTTGTAACTCAAGACCTACTTGAAAGGTTATACATTTGAGGGAGTCCAGAATCTTATTAGGCACTATTTTGGTATAATAAAAGTTTTTTTTACTTATAAGCATAGTGGCATATCTAGGTCCTTTCTGTAACTTAGATTTGGGGCTTACTTACTAATGAATGATTCGTATAAATTTTAGTTTGAAACATTTTTTTTGTAATAATGCTTGAATTCAATTACTGTAATTAATAACTATGGAGTAGGCTATCTTTGTAATTCTTATCTCCAATTTAGCTGTGATACATGATTTGCGAGTTGGAGGGATGATGTTATTTTCCAGATTATCTAACATGGATTACATAAGATGGGCCAGACTTGTAAATTGGCCCAGTTGAGAATTGTTGAGAAAGTCTGGACCCCAAGCTATTGGGCCTAGGTGTTAACCCAATAATTTGGCCCCGATCATATACCTGTTTTAAAGCTAGTGTAGTTATGATTTTAATTAGAGGGTTAAAAATTTATACTGGTATTGTTAATTTAAGTTGAGTACAATAATCTTCCTATTTAACTTTACATTATCGTGTGAACTGAATTGGGGTTGATAGCATATGTTTTATGATTTTTATTCTAAAAAATATTTTGGCAGCAAAAATACTTTCTTGGGGTAATTCAGAATACTAAAGAACACTTGGATCCTCCGTAAAAGAATTAGACAGTGTACCTCCATAACTTTGAACATCACAGGCAATATCGAACCTTAGAAAAGTCAATCAAACCATGAACATTCGTAGCTTTGCTTTAGGCGCGATTAATAAATCATCATGACTATGGGTACGGTTCCCGTGGCATGGTCGTGATACTTAATCCAAATTCGGGGGTACATTTCATGTGATCCAACCACAACTTCGAACAATAATAAAATACACATATTGTAGATTGTGGGTACGATTTCCGTGACACGATTTGCAACATGTACAAAAAACAAACAAGTGCACGACAATCGTAACTTCTTCCAGAAATAACTCCATAAAAAAATAAAAACGGTTATAAAGTCAAAATACATAATAGGTTTAAACACATGTAATTAATTAGATAATCGGGCCAATTATTAATAGTTGAGCGAACGTGCTAAAACCACGAAACCCGGGAGTGCCTAGCACCTTCTCTCGGGTTAACAGAATTCCTTACCCGGTCTTCTGTGTTCGCGGACCAATAATAAGAGTCAATTTTCCGCGATTTGGGATTTAAAATAAGTTGGTGACTTGGGACACCATAACAATAATTCCAAGTGGCGACTCTGATTAATTAAATAATTTCATTTCGATTAATGTCACTTAAATTAGAAAAATTCCCTATCCCCTCGAAAAAAGGGAGGTGTGACAGCTCTAACGACTCAGCTGTTATACTTGGCTTTCAAGAATTCGAGCCTAGAATAACTGTTATACTTGGCTTTCATTTATTATCTGATTTTTACATGTTTGAGCCTAATGTTCTAAATGCCACTTTTACTGCTTTGATATTGTTTGAACTGTATATAAACTGTTGCAAAACCCTTCTTCTCTCTGATTCTTCTAAATCTTCTCGGAAGTGCACGATGGCGTGACTTCTTTTTCTGTTAGAGTCATACCCTAATTTAGAACGAAGTTTGGATTAGTTATAAAGTAGGAATGCCTTTTGGTTACTAGTAAGATGCCCCCTCCCCCCGGCTCGAATTGTCCGCTCGGGTAAGCCAGGTCTATAACAATACACCAAGGTTTTATACCTAGAATAACACAGCCTCATGTCGAATCCCTAGTAGGAACGCTTGTTTGCATCACGTGCATTTGACTTTGGGGACTCAACACAAGGGTTAGGTCCGTCTAGAACAGGTGTACCCAAAAACCAAAAGACCATCCTGATGCATTTTACGTGCTACTCGTACATTTATTTGCTTCGGTTTGTATGTTGACCAGTTTCTAGAATAGGGAAGAAAAGTCAAGAAAAACCAATTTGAAGTAAGAGAGAGAAAATTACCCGTTTTTGAAAAACCTGGTATCCAAATTACCCCGAAACTCTGCCAAAATTTTGAAAAAAAAGAAGAAAAAAACGAAAAGGTCTTTCCAAAATGAGTCATGTTTTCCTGTTATGACAAACTGACCGAACTACGCGGGTTTGATTCTCACTGGATGTGGGATACGTAGGCAACCCTTATCGGGTCCAGCCCCGCTCCTTTTTGCAAATAACCAAAATATGAAATGTCATCATTTTTTGTCATAAATGAAGTTAGGTGATATTGTTTTTGCCTAAATAGCCAGAAATATCCCGATGGGACGTCGGAAGGCCATTTTTGCAAGAATAGCCACCAACGGTCCCTTTGTCAATTTTTGGCCATCTAGCAAACACGGCCCTAAAATCTTCCCTTTTGAAGTACTGAAGGGGCGTATTTACAAGAGTAGCCATGATTTGTTTTAATTTGAATTTTTGCAAAAATAACCTTTTGATCAGTTTTTAAACAAAAACTCACATGTTTTAACCCAGTCACCCTAATCTAAATGTGCAGAATGAGCACAATTTAGAATTTACTGGTAAAGGTGATGACTTAGATTCCATTGGCACTCCACATGTGGTAGGAGGATTTGAGAAAATAGGGACGAGACAAGGTTAACCAATACCTGGGGGCACTCACTGGATTGTTGAAGATTAAACCTAGAAGTGATGTAATAGAGGCATTAGTAACATTCTGGGACCCTGCTCACAATGTTCTGCATTTTTCAGATTTTGAGCTTATACCTACCTTGGAGGAAATGGCGGGTTATGCTGGGAGTACAGAGGGTTTAAGACACAAATACTTGATAGCTCCAAGGGCCGTTACTCTCTACAAGTTTCTAGACTTATTGAAAATAACCAGGCAGATCCAAAATGAAGATTTGGTAGGTGGATTTTCCACTTTACACTTTCTATACCAGCGGCATGGGCATTTATGAGGATTGGAGGACCTAGAAGGCGGACTCTACAGTAACGAAAACTGATCAAAATGGGAAATACATAGATGTTTTGCTTTCATGGTGGCATTCTTAGGCCTCTTAGTGTTTCCAAGGAAGGACGGAACATTGATTTGTGTGTACCTGGTGTCGTCCAGGTTTTGACTACCAATGCCAAGAGTACCCTCGCACCCATGATCGTATCAGATATATTCTGAGTTGTCACAGCCTGTAAGGCCGAGTAGAGTTTTTTGAGGGGTGCAATCTGTTATTGCAAATGTGGATGATTGAACACCTTTGTCACCGTCCCCAATACATGAACTACAGGTCTACGGGAAAAAGCTGCATCGAGGAGTTTGGTACACGGGTGACTGGATTCGAAATACTAGAAGAGGTAAAAGATTGGATATCCCACCTTCATTCTATAACTGCAGATCAGATAGAGTGGACACTGGGTTGGCTTCCCGTTGATGAGATTGTGTACATGCCCACCACCGTTCCCTACTTCCTACTAATGGGTCTCCAAAGCATCCAACCCTATGCCCCATACCGGGTTTTGAGACAACTTGGAAAATGCCAGATAGTTGCCAAAGACGAAGATCTTAGTATTCATGTAGCGAGGCTCAATTTCCTGAAGAAGTGGTTCGCCGAATTTGGAGCGCATGCCAGTATTTGGGGGCAAACACCCGAGTACGCGATTTATCCAGGGGCGAGGTTTTGCCTGGTTATCTTGCTTGGTATGGGAAGAGAGTCGCGACAAATGATGAATCTGAAAGGCCAACCAAAAGGCCCCACATCTAAGAATTTGTTGACGCATCGCAAGAACAATGGGCTTGGTTAACCAAAGAGAATGACTATAGAGCTACCATAAGCAAACTAGAAGGGCAAATCAGAGACATTAAATTTGATAGTGGTTTGCAAGCTGCTGTGGATGAAGGAGAAAAGAAAAGGTTGGCCCGAGAAAATGAAGCCCTCCGAGCTCAGATTCAGAGGATGAAAATAGTTGCTGAAAACCCGGGAAGAAGCAAAACAAATGAAAAACTCATACGGTCTTAGAAGAAAAGTGTGTGATTATGGGGCTGACTTGGAAAAGGCTGAGGACGAATTGGCAAAAGCCCGGGAAAAGTTGGCAAAGAATGCAGAAGAATGAACGGGATTTGCTCAGCAGCTAAAGGAAAAGTATGGTAGAGGAATCACGTTTTTAAAGAAGAAGTTGACTACTCTTGAAAATGAAATGGCTCAGTAAACAAAGAACTTCAAAGCGGAAAGAGAGCATTGCTATGTGTTGATGTCTCAATTGGAAGAAGACATACAGCAGTTGCAAGAGCAAAACCATACGGCCACACAGGTTTTGGAGGCTAGGTCTCAACAAATTGGATGCCTACTCTAAGAGAAGGGTGTCATTAGAGCAAGGATCAAAGAAATTGTTGATTATATCATAATGAAGTGCCATGTATGCGAGGATATGACCAGGTCCATGCTATTCACTGCTGTGATGATTTTTGCCGTCAGGTGATGGACGACCTAGACCGTCTCCAAGAAGATATTGCACACATGCCCGCGTCAAGACCGACTGATGTCCTGCGGGCCCCTGGAGTAGTATTGGAGGATCTTATGTATTCCTGATTTTCTTTTTGATTTTCTTTTTGAGTCTGTATTTCACGTTTTCTAGTATGTTAGTCTTCTCCAAGTCTGTTTTTGTTTTTCAGTTCTTAAGTCTGTATGTTGGAGTCTTTGTAATAGAAAAAACCAAAATTTTTTATATAATGAAATATTGAAAACCCAAAAAATTTCTTTCTTTTATTTCGCATTTATCCCCTGAACTACGTAATGATCTAATTCATGTGGCGTCGTGATACATAAGCAATCCCCATCGGATCTGATCATATCTATAGACAACTTGAGTAATAAACTAAAAACAGAGATAGAAAGAAAAAAATCGAATAAAAAGAAAGAAAGAGTGAAGAAAACAAAAAAGCGCAAACAAAGAAAAAATTCAGGATTTGAAAGTTGATAGAAAAGCCGAGATGAAACACACAGCCGTTGCAAAAGCATTTAGAAAAACGTTTAACTGTTTAGGTGCATTGCTTTCCCCAATGTGCGACTCCCTATATGTTAAATGTCTCAAACTAACCGGTTTGTTGTGTATGCTATACAGACAGGTTCTATTTTTAAGGTGGTTGGTTTTGTGGTAACCTGGATTCACACCCTTATTTCATGAGTTCTAAAAGAAGTATCGCCATGACATCGGATAGTCACTTACCAATCATTAATCCCTCCGAAGATAGCCTAATATCGGTTATCCCAGTGTCAGAATCAGTAACTACTGAAGAAAACAGAAT